GGTTATGGGGGGGGGGAAATATCTCACACGCCTAGAGACCCACAAGGGGTCGGCGAATTCAGTTCCGCGCGCAGTAATCTTAAAGTTTGCAGCAGTTTTGAGGGTTCGCGTGCTTGAAGTTCCAAGAGTTGTTTTCTGGCACGGTTTAGGACTGTCCGGGCGCAACCGTCATTTTGATTCGCGGTGTGGAAGTTCCAGGAATGGTGTTGTGGCTCGATTTCAGATTGTCGACTCGCGGCGCTGAAGTCCCAATGATGGTGTTTTGGCACGGTTGAGGATTCTCAGACGGTTATCTTCCAATGGGGCACTTTCCGCAATGAAGATCGATTCTTGTAGGGGCCTGTGAAAAGGAACTTTGGAAGGATAATTACGTTTTGGGTTTGCAGTGGTCTCTTTCCTCCTCCTCCCACCCCCTCCTCCCCTTCCCCCTTCTCCCCCTAATTGCGCCCCCCCCGTCGGAGGCTGGCAACTTGTCGCCTGAGGCCCTTTTGGGCCCCTCTTGGGCGGTCTTAGGGCCGTCCGTCTTGGGCAAGTCTTCGGGCTCACTTGGGCCAGCTTGGAGCCATCTTGACGCCTCAAGAGCCCATGGGAAGTGAACAGGGCGAGAAGGCAGCAATTAAGAATTTTGATTAAGTTTGATTAAGTTTGCATCAGTTTTGGAAGAATTTTGGTCTGGAGGGGACCCGTGGGATGCTCCGTGGTCGCTTGGAACTGCCTTGGGACGGGCATGGCGCCTCTTGGAGACATGCTTGAAGGTATGTTGGAGGATTTTGGGCAGTCCTGTGCGATCTTAGAGGCCATGTGGGGCTATCTGGGGCCATCCTGGAACCATATTGGGCGACATGGCCCGTCCAGACCCAGCGGAGGGAGCAGGGGGAATTCTAACACGATCGTTGGAGTTGACGACTTCCATGTAGGCAAGCGAATTTCGCTGCGTAGACTGTACCACATGCATATACTCACGCTTTGGGCGTCAACGCGGTTAAAGATTTCTTGCGCAGGCGTTCACATCGCTTGGTTGTCCAGCGCAGACGCAATAGCCGACCTGGTACGGTGGCATGGTAGTTGTACGCGCTACGCGCTGACAGAAAGACAGACAGCAGCCGCGTCCAGACGGCGCATTTACAAGGAACATTGTGACAGGTGACGGCGTGCGGGCTCATGCGAAGAATTTGCACACAGTTTGTTGCGCTGCCCGCGGCTCGGTTGCACATCATGAGGAGACTTTGTGCCCCGTGGGACGCTACGCGTTAACCGGCAGACAATCCGAAGCGAAGCGAGGGAAGGGGAAGGAGAGGGAAGGAGAGCGGGAAGGCGGAGGAGAAGGAGGGCAAAACCAATCATTCGTCAGTTGATATTGCACCAGGCTCGGACAGTTGAGCGCCACTTCCCTTCGTCTCCTCGAAGATCTTAGAGTCGATCCAGGCTTTACCCAGACACCTCTAAGGCGCTTGAATGCATGAACGTCGTCCATTGGAAACGCGGCCTGCCTCTGACTCGCTTGTTACTCCAAGTTCGAGGCAAAACGTTGGAATTTGCTCCCGGTTGCAAATGATAGACGTCTTGGGAGATTGCTCGGAGGTTCCCGGGTGAGCTTACCACATAGCAGTAGTTGGCGTTGCAGCAATATTGTAGAGAGGCTATGTGCTTTCGCTGTCTGTAGAACGACTGCGTTGCTGACTCTAGACAACAATTCTGGCGGAATCTTGCAAGTTTTCCTCAAGCATCGCGCTTGGAATGCTTCTAGCTTCGCCCTGTCTGTCTGCAACAGCATGCACGGTTCTGGCCATATAACAACCTTGAGAAAATACACGGGTCAAGCAGCTTGCGCTGTTTACTTAAAATTGCATGGCTCCATGCTGTGCGCATTTTCTCAAATGCCCTTTTGGCCTCTCCGAGGCGCTTGGTCAACTCACTTCGCGTCCGGCCGTCTACACTCAGGAGCCCACCGAGATACACGGCGCTCTCTTTGCACGGGATTGCTTCGCCGTCTGGGCCTACGATAGTGGCGTCTGAACGAATCCGGAGAAGGATTGTCTTCCCTACGCTGAGGTCCAACCCGAATGTTTCGCCAATCGAAACGACGGTATCAAAATGCTTTCGAAGATAGCCCGGGCTGACAAGGAAGCGAGGACGATGCTAAGCGTTGACACTGAGGAGCTAAATCGTGACGAGGAGATAGACGTTAAGCAGGAGGCGGAAGATAATGAGATGAAGGGAACTCAGCGTCTCGATGTTTGAGACATGGGCCCCTGGACCTCTCGACCCCCTCCCAGGGGCTGTGTTTTTTTGTTTCGTCTGGAACTGCTTTTTGTAAGCCCTGGAACCCGAAACTGGCCTCCAGAGCTCCATAATGGCGACAAGGCCCACGATTTTCTTCGAGCTGCAATTTGACTGACGGGAGGGCGACGAGGGCTGGGAAGCAAGTTTCAGGGGCAACGTCAGGGAGGATAGACTCAGGGGGGGATGCATGGACCCCGAATCGCCCATTCATCACCGCCATTTACCGTCTACGAAAGTTTCGCGAACAACAAATGCACGCGTGACAACGTCATCGCAGGATATCGCCGTGCATGCGAGTCGAGAGTGAGCGTGCACGGGCAGATGCATTCAGATGCACAGAGCTCCGTTAGGTGCACGGGGCCCCGTCCCATGTCATCGGTCACGCCAGTGGCGCGATGTGGCGCAACCGTCTCGGAGCGGCATTATTAGGTCCCTCAGTATTCTCTTTCGTAACCTTCACACGGCGTAGAACAGCTAGAAATGTCACCAGAGTGTTGTGTTTTATTTCGTGCACGGGGTGCACCTCAGCACGTACCTCAACCTGAAAGTTTTCAGATCGAACTTGAAAACCATGCGCCAGAGCGCTTTCTCCATTGTTCTTTGACAGGGAAGCCCCCGTTCAGATCGACCTGAAATTCTTCATGTGCAAATTGTGTTCTCATCGGACACCGCCACCGTGCTATGGAAGTCCAGAAAGAAGCTCCACCGTCGCCGCCACGGAGGTGACAGCCGAACTCGCGTAAACATGTTTTGTTCGATGTAAGGGCCCAGTAGACCACACCGCAGATGAAAGTTCGGACTCGCTATCGGTAGCCTAGCCTAACGTCGATGTATCGGCGATCTATTGCCGATTCCAGGTCGATGTTCCCCCTTCGAGCCAGTCCCCCTAACGTTCCCCGTCAGAGGGGGGGGGAGAAACAGGCTTAGGGAGGAGGGCGAGACGGGAATGGTTGCCGGGGCGGCGCCGGAGCTGCCGACCGAGGTCTGGGTGCATCCGGGCGCTCCCGCCCCTCGCGCCTGCGTGCGCGCGTCGCTCTCGCGGGCCTTCTTGACCCACGCCCGCTCGCGCTGCGACGCTTCCAGGCGGCGCTGTGTTTGAGGAGAGGATGCGGAGGGAGGGGATGATGGTGAGGAGGAGGACAATGATGAGAAAGAGGAGGAGGAGGTGGTGGAGGAGGGGGACCAGTGTCAACCCAAGACGCGTCAACGATGGCCATAAACCCTCCCTCCAAGTTCCTTCATTAGATGTCCCTACAAGAACTGATTCCCCACATTCTGAGTGGTGGTCTTGTTTTTCTAGAACGCCCTCTCCATCTCCCTCCTCCTTCATCTCCTCTGCCCTACCTCTACCACTACCACCACTACCTCGGCTACCACTACTACCACTAACACCACTACTACCACTACCACGACTACCATTCCTACCACTGCTATCCGCCCTTATTACCGCCACTATTGCTTCTACCACTGCTACCACTACCACTACCATTGCAACCACTACTACGACCACTACTTAATATTTCTACGACCACCTCCACCACTGCTACTACCACTGCTACTATCTTGCTTGCTTGCTTGCTTGCTTACTTACGTTCTTACTTACTCCCTACCTACCTACCTGCCTGCCTGTCTGCCTGCCTGCCTGCCTGCTTGCCTGCCTACCTATCTCTACCTACCGACCTACCTACCAGGGAGGTCCCGCCAGAGCGGACAGGGTATTCGAAAACAGTATGATTTATAAGGTGTCGTGCCCTTCCCACCCCCCTGGGAGGCCCCGCCAGGGCGGGCAGGGCTTTCGAACACTATTACAGTTATACGGTTTTGCGCCCCTTTCCACCCGTCTAAGGAAGCCCCGCCACAGCGGGCAGGGTACTCGCAAACCGTATTATTTAGAAGGCGTCGTGACCTTTTGGTCCTTCCAGGGGGGCCCCACCAGAGCGGGCAGGATATTCGCAAGCTATACCACACACAAGGTTTCGTGACCTTCAGACCCCTCCAGGGAGGGCCCGCCAGAGTGGGCAGGGCATACATGTATGGCCACTATGTTATGTACTCGTATGAGAGTCAAGGGGGCTACATATTTGGTCACGTTTACTTTTTGAATTAAGCGGTCCTGAGTATAGTCGCCATGTGTGTAGGAAGGTTGGATACATCCCTGTGTAATTCCTTTCTCCCTCCTCTTCCACTTGCAGTGGCCGCGCCAACAACACGTGGCAGGCAAGGAAAATATACCCCCCCACAGGGGGTCACGATCGAACACGAAGAGGACTGGTACCGAGGGTTTGGGCGTGTACTGGTGGAGCATGTTGAGGAGCCCCCCCGGGTTGCTGCCACTTCGTGAGAGAAGAAGTGTGAACCTCTACGCCTGTACAGGCCCAGTTTTCAGGCCCATGCCTTGATGGCTATCGAGGCCCGGCCAGGCCAGGTGGCCATGTCCACCAAGTTCGGGGCCAGTAGCTGCCCGTGGAGGCCTGGTGGTGGTGGTCAAGCCTCTTGGTGGCTCCCGCTTGGAGGGCATCTTGCGGTTCGGTTTATTCGAGACATGGGCCCACGGCCCTTTCGACCCCTCCCCCAGGCCAGCTGTTTGTCATCCTGGAGTATTTTTTTTCCGTGGCCCTAGAGCCAGGCAACTCCGAAACACTTCGGCCCTGCGAGTTTTTCAAGTCGCGTTTTCTTGGGGGGGCAGGAGGCAGGGGTTCGCCGCGGTTCGCCGCGGACAAGTCTGTGGCTCCCAGCGGCCGCGTCGCAGCGGCCAGCCCTGCTGGCCCCGCGGCGCCTCCGCGACCTCGGCTCGTCAGGCGGGGGAGGGGGCAGGCGGGGCAGGCGGGGGAGCAGGGCAGGGCCACGAGGCAGGAGCGCGGGCGGGCAGCGTCGGCCTCTGAGGTGGGAGTACGGGCGGCTTGGAGCGGCCAGTGAGTCACAAAAAGAGCGCCAGTGGCAGACCCCCAATAAAGAAGGGGGGGGCTGACGAAGCCCCAGTGGTCTTACCCCCCCCCACTCTCTTTACGTGTGCGTGCGCTCGCCCCCCCCCATGATCATGCAACTCCTCCTCGGCACGCCCTCATCCGCGATTCCACTTGCTCCTCATCCTTTTCCTCCTTCTCCTCCCCTCCTTATCCTCCTCCTCTTGGGCGTCATCCGTCTCGTCCCTCTCCCTGTGCACCCACTTTCTCCTCCCCCTCTTCCGCCCGTCCTTGCCTTCTTGCTTTCTGCTTCCTCTGTCGTCTCCGCCTTCATTCTTTTTTTCCCTTTGCCCTCCGCACCCTTCAGCCACCTGGTAATTTCAGCAATTGGTACACGGCTTCGGTTCCTTTGGGCCGGAGTTCGGGTTTTCATTATTGTTCATTCTGTTTGGCCAGGTTCTAGATGCATTGTGAACAAAGGGCCACAGTTTACGCGTGCATCCTACACGCAATGACTTGGTTTGTCTTGCTTGATTTCGTGGTGGACTCAGATCGCAAGGCATGCGCAGCGACGCCTCTTCTTGCCATGTTCATTTGGCGGTGTGTGTCTGTGTTTGTGTGTGTGTGTGTGTATGTGCGTGTGTGTGTGTGTGTGTGTGTGTGTGTGTGTGTGCAGTTGATGCTTGCGCAATCGTGCTTGTCAGTGCTCTGGGCGTGGGTCCGTTGGTCTTGATTCTCCTGCAAACGTTGCTCGAACACCGTTAGTAGGTGCCACCGTGCTGTGCTTGTTTTTGAGGCAATGGAATGCTCGGAATCCTTGCCCACGTCGTTTAAGGAAGTTACCCGAATAGCTCTGGCACGAAACTCCGACAGCAGAAGTACATTGCCATGTGTGTCTTCGAGACCACGCGGCTAAGCCGGCGATTTGGTTTCCGAGTATCCATTGGAGGATGTGTGAGCTACTCTCATCACTCATCTCGATCCCTCTTGTTGTATCGAGTGCTAGGCAACACTCCATTGCATATAGTACTAGAGTTGATCCCTGGCGTTTTCATCTTCCCGGCCCGCCGCATATTCTTTTCGAATGAACAATTTCTATCAAATTGAGGAGATGCGCCTCTGCTCGGCTGCCTCAAGCTGGTCAAACTTGTCCTGGCGGAATCGTGCTCTCTACAGCGCTTTCTTCAGTACCCTTACGAGCTGTTCAGGATGATATGTCAGCAATGCGTTCTTTGGCGCCGCCGGCCCAGTTTCTGCGCGCCATCTGCCCCCTTTGGGGCCTGCCATGCCCGTGGCCGCGAGGGGGATGGCGTGCCGTGTTTTGCACTTTCCAACCCTCCCCTCCGCCCTGCCCAGAACCAGTGCGCGCCGCCTTGGCCCGCAAGCCTTCTGGATTCTCCCATCCTCCCTTCCTCCCTCCCCGTCCCAGGATGGCCGCGTCGCATCGTGGCATCGGGAGCGCTGATGCGCTGCTTCTTTTTTGCGCTGGCTCTTGGTCCAGGCAGCGCGCAGTCGTTGCTATCTGCCTACAGGGCCGTGGCCCCGCGAGCACAGCGACATGCACTTTCCAGCTCTCCGGACGATCGCGTGGGGGGCCGAGCACCAGCAGAGGAGGCGCCCGCCCGCCGCCCTCCCGACAGGCCGCCCGGGGCGAGCTTGGGGCATGCGCGCCGTCGCCTCCCGCGCCCTCGCGGCGCCGCTCCGCCCCACGGCCGCTGGGGGGTGGTCCGCGCTGGGAGGCGTGCGTGCGTGCGTGCGTGCGTGCGTGCGTGCGTGCGTGTGTGTGTATGTGTGTGTGTGTGTGTGTGTGCGTGTGTGTGCGTGTGGGCGTGTGCGGGGAGGGGAGGTCAGGCAGGCCTAGGATGAGGACGAGGATGCATTTCTCCAGAGCGTTCCAGTTAGCTCTCAGAGCGTTCTGGAGCGCTCTGGAACGGCTGCAGCGCCCGACACGTCCTCCAGACCCGCCGTCTCTCAGAGATCCCCATTCATCCTGAAACCGAATTTGGCCACCGTGAGAGTTTGATTGTTCCTCTTGTCGCAGGCGCCGAAAGAGGGACAGGGGGGGAGGGTTGGGGAAGGCGTTGGCGGAGCGACCGTCAAGCCGAAGCTCGGATCAGCCTGAGCAGACCCAGGAGTCAACCATAAATGCCTTCCCAGATCTTGCGATGTGGGGGCCTCTTGTCAGCTTAATTGGGCCATCTTGGCGCCCTCTGAGGGTTGTAATTTTGGAGGCATTTGGTCTTGGCGCTCTCTTTGGGCCCTCTCGGGGGCCTTGGGGACCCTCCTGGGATCGTCTCAGAGACCATCGATCAAAGAAAGGGGGGGTTCTTTAGTGTCCCCTCGTCGGGCCATCACAATCACCTCTTGGGGCCCTCTTCGGGCGCTCTTGGGGTCCTTTAGGGGCGCTCTTGGGGCTTTCTTGGGCGTTCCGCGGGCCTTCTTGGAGCCCTCTTGGGCCCCCGCTGGGGCTCTCTTGGGCAATCTTGAGGCCTCGGAAGCCCATCGGGAGCTAAGAGATGAGAAGGCGAAGTTCATAGAGTTCCCAGAACGGTCTTGGAAGGATTGTGGTCTCTCGGGGGCACTACTGGGAGGCTCCGTGGCCCCATGAGGCCGTCTTGGGGCGGTCTACGGGCTCCTTGGATGTATGTTGGGGACTATTTTCCACGATCATGGATTATATTGTGCCATCTCGGAGGACATCTTGGGCTGTCCAGGGCCCTCTTGGGGCCATAGACGGCCATAGGAACCACTCCAACCGCACGCGCCCCCCTCCCCTCCCTCCAGACCCCGGATAGGTAGGGGGTATGGGGAGGGGTGAAGCTAGCCCCCGAAGGGCGGCCGTCTTGCTCGCGCCCAGCCGTCCTCCAGCCACAGGGCGTATCTGAGTCTCAGTGTAGCCAGGGGCCAGCATCGACAACCTTCGGGAACCAGTGCAGCTGCCAGCCAGGTGCGCGACGCCCACGAAGGTGCGCAACGTGTGCCAGGGCACCCCCCATCGCCCCTGTCAAATACCAACACAAAGTGAACGCGGCGCGCCCGCGCATGGTCCAAGATTTTGCCGCAACGCGCGCTTTGAACTTGTTTTTGACAGGGATGGTGGGCCTGCGCACACCAGGCAATGTGCTGGCACCCCCGCCGTCCCTGCAACAAGATGACTCCCCCGGCGCGACCCCAATTAAGGAGATCGCTTCCTAAGCGGCATTGCTCGGCATTGTTTGGTATTGCTCGGCAGTGCTTTCTATTGCTTGGCTTTGCTTGGCGTTGCTTGGCATTTCCCCAGTTGGGGATCAATGTACTGCGATCGCAGGGCGCCCGAATCTGATTCAGATTTTGCCGCGAATTGCATGTTGTAGGTTTTTTTTGAAAGTATGCTGGATCGAGGGGGGGGGGGGTCGACGTTGGCCCTGGTTAGGAGGCTAATAGTGGGGGAGGGGGCGTATCTTAGCAAGGGGTAGTGAGAAACTCTTCCCCAAAGGGACCGAATTGGGGTTATGATGACGAGCTCCCAGATTCTTTCGCCAAGAGTGCTTGTGGGATTAGCTTGTCGAAGGGCCCAATCCTGCGCAATTGCGTGTAGTGCAGGGCGCGGTCCTCTCCTGAAAACTGCGCGCCGTGTGAGGGCAGAAGTCCACGGCGATGCGAACAGGGCGGCTGCGGAGCAAGCTCGCAGAGGCGCGCTGAGCGCTTATGTGTGGCACGATCCGCGTTGGGGGTGTGCCGAAATATGAGATGGGGCCCCAGACTCCCCCCGGACGCATAACACTCTAGTACACATGTCAAACATGTCCCCCTCCTCCTTTCTCAATCGCACTTCAAAGTTGCGTCACTTGTGCAGCTGGCTGTAGGTGCCAGCTGACGTGGGCCCCCTTCCTCCACACTCGCCGTCTGCGTGAAACCTAGTGACATCAAACGTGCGGAAAAGCCGGCTGGGCCCAACCTCCGCACCAGCAGCTCTTGTCGTCCCAAGGAGGATGGTGATGGTGATGGTGATGGTGATGGTGATGGTGATTGTGATGATGATGATGATGATGATGATGATGATGATGATGATGATGATGATGATGATGATGACGACGATAATGATGCTGATGCTGCTGCGGATATGACGATGCTGATGATGATGATGATGATGATGATGATGATGATGATGATGATGATGATGGTGATGATGAGGAGGAGGAGGAGCGGGAGGAGGAGTAGGAGGAATAGGATAATGAGGAGGAGGCGGAGTGCAAGCTATGTACTGTAATTCATGTTGTGCTCTATGTTGTGCAATCTATGTTGCTCGATCCGCGTGGCGCAGCCTATACGGTTCCATATATGGTGTGCAAGCGATGTGGTGCAATTTAGGTGGTGCAATATGCATGGTGCATTCTATAATGTTCACTCTATGTGGTCCAACATACGCGGTACAGTCGAAATTGCGCAAAATGTCGTGCGTCCCAGGTTGTGCCAGTATGTGATGCAGTCTAAGTGGTGCAATCTACGCGAAGCAGCATATGTTGTGCAGAGTGACCAGCGGCCGCCACTGGGAGTGCTGTGTGCCCCCTACTCCCCAAGACGATGTGTGATGTTTCCATCGCGGAGAGGATGCCCAGAAGCCCTGACCCCCATCCCCTTCTGCGGGGGCCGAAGCTGGCCAAAAGCCTCTTGACCCGAAAAGGCCGGGGCCGCCGCGCTGCGGCAACCGGCGCGGATCGCCGTGCCAGCGGCCTGGCGCGGTTCGTTGGCGGTGCCGTGCGGCGCGCGGGCGCCGAGGAGTTCTGGCCCCCCCCCTTCTTGTATTTTTGTATTATCTTACCTTATCGTATCTTCTCTTCTCTCCTCTCCTCTCCTCTTCTCTTATGTTCTCTTCTCTTCTCCTCTTATCTCCTCTCCTCTTCTCTTCTCCTTCCCTTCTCTTCTCTTCTCTTCTCTCGTCTTCCTCTTCCTATTCCTCTTCCTCTTCCTCTTCCTCTTCTTTCCATCTCCTCTTCTCTTCTCTTCTCTTCTGTTCTCTGCTATTCTCTTCTCTTATTTTCTCATCTTTGCTAATTATTTTCTCTTCTCTTCTCTTCTTTTCTCTTCTCTTCTCTTCTCTTCTCCTTCTCTTCTCTTCTCTTCTCTTCTCTTCTCTTCTCTTCTCTTCTCTTCTCTATTCTTCTCTATTATTTTCTTCTCTTCTCTTCTCTTCTCTTCTCTTCTCTTCTCTTCTCTTCTCTTCTCCTCTCTTCTCTTCCCTTCCCTTCCCTTCCCTTCCCTTCCCTTCCCT